TGGTACCACAAACAAGATATCATTCAAGTAACGTTAAAACCATGGTTTGGTAAGAAATTAACTAAAAGAATTGTATTGCAATTCGTAGCCTCACAATATGACCCACTAGGATTCATAGTTCCTATACTGATAAGATTCAAATTGTTTCTCCAAACTTTGTGGAAAAAGAACCTTTCATGGGATCAAACTATAAGTGAGGAAGATGAAACCACGTGGAAATTACTCACGAACGAATGGCCAAAGAAACTAAAGGATCTACCAAGATTCACAACAAATTGTTCCAAGCAAGTACAATTTCATGTTTTTACTGACGCATCAACTGCTGCATACTCAGCAGCTTTATACATTCGAACTCAAGAAAGAGAAGTATTCTTAGTGTTTGCTAAATCCCGAATTGCGCCAATTAAAGGAATGTCAATACCTCGATTAGAATTACTGGCAATACTCATCGGAGTGAGAATGGTACAATTCGTATTAAAACAAAAAGAGCTTGAGGACGTGATAACAATTTTATGGTCCGATTCTCAATGTGCGCTTCATTGGGTTCACAATAGTTCCCGTTTACTACCAACGTTCATACAAAATAGGGTAGAAGAAATACGAAAGGCGAAAATCCATTTTAGATATATCCCAAGTGAACAAAACCCAGCTGATATAGCTACAAAAGGAATCTCTCCGAATAAACTAAAAGGATATGATCTTTGGTGGAAAGGACCAAAGTGGTTAACAGAAAACGAATCAAAATGGCCACAGTGGAAATACAATTACAATGAGGATTACCAGGATGAAGAAATTGTGGCCCACATCACAGAACCAATTATCATAAACAAACATTTCGGAATCTTAGATGCTAGTCGTTTTAGCAAATGGTCAAGATTAATAAGAACAACTGGTTGGGTTCTGAAATTCATAAGATTAACAATGAAAAGGGAAATTCCTTGGCTAAAGATGGCAACGAAAGAAAAGAATATATTGACAACACAGGATTACGAGTTGTCAGAAATTGTGCTATTCAAACAAGCACAGTCAGAAGGAGTTACCAAAGATGAAATAATCAAATGGAATTTGTTCTATGATAACGAACTATGGAGATACAAAAGCCGCGTAGTTAACTCTGAAATGAAAGAGAGTAACTTACACCCAATATATCTCCCGAGACACAACACCATAACTGAACTCTTTATTCAGCAACGACATGAACAACTGTATCATGCTGGAATTGCTCATACACTCTCAAATCTGAGATCGACGATATGGATCCCAAAAGGTAGAACGGAAGTCAAACGAATCTTGAATAAGTGCATGAAGTGCAGACGCTGGACAACTAAACCATTCAAATTACCAACTATGGCTGATCTTCCAGCATCTCGGACCACAAGATCAAGACCCTTTGCGCGAGTAGGACTAGACTATTTAGGTCCTGTGAATATCAGGAGTGATAATGGGCTAACAAAAAGATGGGTAGCACTATTCACATGTTTCACAACAAGAGCTGTACATCTAGAAGTAGTAGAAACTCTTTCAGCCGAAAGCTTTTTACATGTTTTCAGAAGATTTACAGCAAGACGAGGCTTTCCAGAATTAATCTTAAGCGACAACGCTGGTCAATTCCAGTTAATTTTTAAAATCATTGTGAAACAACAATTAAATGAATTCCTAGCGGAAAGGAAAATGATCTGGAAAAATATAATACCAAAGGCGCCTTGGAACGGAGGAGTATATGAGCGACTTATTGGGTTAACAAAAAGGGCAATGAAAAGAGCCATCGGCAGAAAGTTATTATGGGAACGGGAATTGATTACGCTAGTAGCGGAAGTGGAAAGTATTTTGAATACTCGACCACTAACTTACGTAAATTTTGATGATTGTATCATATTGCGTCCAATTGACTTTATACTACCGAATGCGCATCTAATCATGCCTGCTAAAAACAAGAATGAAATGGATGATTTTATCCCTCATAAATTGGATTCGAGAGAAAAACTCATTCAATACTGGTCAAATACACTAAAGGCCCTCGATGCCTTCTGGGAAATATGGAAAGAGGAATATTTAAATACTCTTAAAGAAAGAGCACAAAGGGAACACTCTTCTCCGAGAGATGTAGTAAAAAGAACTCCCCACGAGGGAGAGATTGTGTTACTAAATGAACCAGAAATTCCCCGTGGCATGTGGAAACTAGCCAGAATAAGAGAAATCAAAACAGGAAAGGATGGAGAAGTGAGAAGTGTCTCGATAGAATTACCGAAAGGAAAAATACTCAACAGACCGGTGAATATGTTATACCCACTGGAAGTCAAAGGTGAGGAAATTGACCCTCAACCAACAATGTTTAACAAATCAGTGCAAAATGTCAATGAACAAGAACCAATTGCTCTACGAACTAGAAGCGCTATAAGGCGAAGCAATCAACCAAAGCTGTCCAACGAACTAAAGCATTTAGCTCCTTCGGTCGGGAGTGTCGCGGATTTTAATATCGCGATCTAAAAATATGAGTTGCAAATTGTAGTAAAGATATCTACGTAATTTCCGCAAATAATGCTTATACTTCGGACTCTTTGTTTCCAAATTTATGCTTCTACATATTGAAACAATTTACATCGTTCTTTGTTAGCAATCCTTACAATCATGAGGATATCTACATTGTTCTTTGTTAGCTATCATAATCATGCGGTTATCTAATAAGCTCTTTATTAGCAACTGGTGCCCATGCAAGCACCTCCTCTCCTTTGTTTGGATCATTGTCTAACATCAATGTAGATTTTATAACCATACTATTGTCAATTAGATCAGTTTAAAAATCATCCAATCCTCCGAATCAGTTTATTCAATTGTTGCCCAAATATTTAGCTGGCATCCAACACATCTCCCTGACATCAAACTTCTCCCCCGAATAACAATTTAACCAAATCATAAAGGTTGTTTCCAAAAACATTTTTGCTTCCACTACAACCATTTCTCTGCAAATATAACAATACCACTAGAAGACATTTTGATTAACTCATGACATTTCTCTGCAAATATAACAAGATCACTAGAAGACATTTTGATTAATTCATTAACTCATACCATTTCTCTGCAAATATAACAATATCACTAGAAGGTATTTTGATTACTTCACTAACTCACATCATTTCTCTACAGATATAACAAGATCACTAGAAGATATTTTGATTAATTCACTAACTCATACCATTTCTTTACCAATATAACAAGATCACTAGAAGACATTTTGATTAATTCATTAACTCATACCATTTCTCTGCAGATATAACAATATCACTAGAAGATATTTTGATTAATTCATTACTCATACCATTTCTCTGCAGATATAACAATATCACTAGAAGACATTTTGATTAATTCATTAACTCGTACCATTTCCCTCGTCCCATTTCTCTACAGATATAACAATATCACTAGAAGACATTTTGATTAATTCATTAATTCGTACCATTTCCCTCGTCCCATTTCTCTACAGATATAACAATATCACTAGAAGACATTTTGATTACTTCATTAACTCATACCATTTCTCTACAGATATAACAATATCACTAGAAGACGTTTTGATTACTTCATTAACTCATACCATTTCTCTACAGATATAACATTATCACTAGAAGACATTTTGATTAATTCATTCCCCTTCTCTACAGATATAACAATATCACTAGAAGACATTTTGATTAATTCATTCCCCTTCTCTACAGATATAACAATATCACTAGAAGACGTTTTGATTACTTCATTAACTCATACCATATCTCTACAGATATAACAAGATCACTAGAAAACATTTTGATTAATTCATTCCCCTTCTCTGCATATATAACAATATCACTAGAAGACGTTTTGATTACTTCATTAACTCATACCATTTCTCTACAGATATAACAATATCACTAGAAGACGTTTTGATTACTTCATTAACTCATACCATTTCTCTACAGATATAACAATATCACTAGAAGACATTTTGATTAATTCATTAACTCGTACCATTTCTCTCCAGATATAACAATATCACTAGAAGGTATTTTGATTAATTCATTAACTCGTACCATTTCCTCTATTTCTCTACAGATATAAAAATATCACTAAAAGATATTTTGATAAATTCATCTACTCATACCATTTCTCTGCAGATATAACAATATCACTAGAAGACATTTTGATTAATTCATTAACTCATAACATTACTCTACTGATTTTACAATATCACTAGAAGACATTTTGATTAATTCATTAACTCCTACCATTTCCCTCGTCCCATTTCTCTCCAGATATAACAATATCACTAGGAGACATTTTGATTAATTCATTAACTCGTCCCATTTCTCTACAGATGTAACAATATCACTAGAAGGCATTTTGATTAATTCATTAACTCATACCATTTCTCCACAGATGCAACAATATCATTAGAAGGCATTTTGAATAATTCATTAACTCGTACCATTTCTCTCCAGATATAACAGTATCACTAGAAGATATTTTGATTAATTCATTAACTCACATCATTTTTTTGCAGATATAAAAATATCACAAGAAGATATTTTGATAAATTCATCTACTCATACCATTTCTCTACCAATATTACAAGATCAGAAGACATTTTAATTCATTAACTCATATCATTTCTCTGCAGATAAAAAATTATCAGTAGCTCAGGTGCTTGCGTATGCAGATTATGGAAATGGATCGACATCACAGCCAATAGCACCGCCCATTTGCTGCTGTTGGTTGTGCAGTGGCAACCGCAGCTGATACAGCTAGCTGATCAGCAGTTTGCTGCTGTTGCAGGCATTGTTTACGAGTGGCACCCTGTGAAGGTGTAGGGAGATTTGTTGCTTTGAGATGTCAACCCGTAAAGAATGAAGTAAAACGAAATAGTGTGACGAGTTATTTTGAAAAAAAAAAAAAAAAAAAAAAAATATCAAACACAATCAAAGAAGCTTTACTGAACTAAGCAAAATATCTAAATCAATCCAAAATTTTCAACTGCTACTAGTACGCAATCCTAATAGACATACCGCGGAACTATCAGATGCTAAGTTGCCGATGTCCGATACATCCATCATCAGTGCTGAAAGATAGATATCCAGATTAGGCGATCTACAATAGAACACATTAACACCATTTAATTATAAGGTCTCATTCCGAATCATTCATATTAGTTAAGTTATAAGGCTAATCTCACTCAACCGTGTAGATTGTTCCTATTGTTCAACAAGGAAGAAATTAGAGGTAATGATCAATAAGTGAAAAGATAGATTTATATATAAGAACTGATGAATAGCTTGAAATGAAAAGTTAAAAAAAAAAAAAAAAAAAGAAACGCATGAAAAGTTAAAAACTTGAACTAAATATATACAATCTATTTATAGGATTTTTTCGTTGAAAAAATTTAATTCAGTCCATTCCACATATCATTGGGCGACCAATTCATCGTAATATGAATGATGTATTAAACGTTGAATGTATTGCTGCACAGGATCTAGTTTTACTACCAACAAAAGTTGATTATAAAAAATTAGAGCAAAAAAAAACGAGCAATATGATAGCAATTCAATTGCTCATAATTTTAGTAGTTCGGAAATCAAATTAGTAACGATACAACTATCGCAGATTTTAACATCGCGAAGCACTAAATAAATGTTAACAATGCTTAATATAGCTTAATCCATTGATGTCTTTTACAATTCATCGTAATGGTTTAATTGACTTTTGATCTTATATCAATTCATATACAATGAGCATCTATCATGTAGTGTTTATTGCAACTCATAGTAGCCACTTATCATAATGTCTAGACAACTCATTGTACTTTCTTTCGTGATATCCATTCAATTCATTGTGATATTCATTGTAAAACCTATTGTTAAAGTTACTTGCTATAATGTCTAGACAATTTATCCTTTGTATAAAAATTCTAATTATAAACCACTCCTGTCGCGAATTATAATTTCGCGAAAAACTCCTAACTAATTTCATACTATCATAAATCATCTCTTCTTTTCATTGTAAAACACTTCCAATTCTTTACACATATAATTTTACTGTAAAATTGTAATTAGCTTTCATCTAATCTTTTCGTTGTAAAACACTTCCAATTCTTTACACATATAATTTTACTGTAAAATTGTAATTAGCTTTCATCTAATCTTTTCATTGTAAAACACTTTCAATTCTTTACATATATGATTTTTATCCTAGACACGCCCAATCCTTACTCATATAAATTCAATTCTAACAAACAAACCGGGTTAATTTTTTCACATTCATTATCATTATCATCATTGTCGACTACTACTTTGTTAACCAATATCAATTCCTCCAATCTTCTTCTTTAATATAAATTTCTTCTCTTTTATTTTACTGCTCTGTTTATTAATACTACATTTTCGAAAAATAAAGGTTTATTAATCTTCCTACTGTATTGCAACAATTCGAATATCAACCAACAGACAACCTTTCACGACAAAATAATTTTTTGGTGCCACGAGCCGGGAACAAGTCAAGCCACATTATCGCGAGCTTTCAACCGGCAAAGGAAAGGTTAGTCAGTCTTCTTAAAGAAGTAAATCAACTGGAGATCAAATTTCCAGATCCAAATATGACAATAGAAGAAAAAGAAGATTTTTATGTGATAAGAAAAAGAGTGTTAGAAGATAAACTTCGAAGAATCCAATTATGCGTGACTACGCTTGAATCTATCAACGATAAATGGTTCACATATACTCAACAAATCGTCACGATGAAAAGAAGAGAAGAAGAAGAAGAAAAATACAAAACAGTAACAGAAGGTGACCAAGGAATATTTCAATTATTACACGAAGGAAAGGAAGCGATAATAACACTGACAATGCACAAGGATGAAGTCGATCAAAACTTAAAATATGGATGAATGTTTCTTATTCTTGGTCACTTTTCATTTATTTTTTTAACATTCTATAAAACAACATGTAGATTTTTCATTCTATAAAACAACATGTAGATTTTTCATGTAAAAATCCGCAAACAACATGTAGATTTTTATGTGATAAGAAAAAGAGTGTTAGAAGATAAACTTCGAAGAATCCAATTATGCGTGACTACGCTTGAATCTATCAACGATAAATGGTTCACATATACTCAACAAATCGTCACGATGAAAAGAAGAGAAGAGGAAGAAAAATACAAAACAGTAACAGAAGGTGACCAAGGAATATTTCAATTATTACACGAAGGAAAGGAAGCGATAATAACACTGACAATGCACAAGGATGAAGTCGATCAAAACTTAAAATATGGATGAATGTTTCTTATTCTTGGTCACTTTTCATTTATTTTCTTAACATTCTATAAAAAAACGCATACACAACAAACATAATGTAAATAATGAACATACATACATAATAAGTATACGAGTACACATAATAAGTATACGAATACAATAAGTACACACATATACTATAAAAAAATATATACAAAAAGCATACAGGTATACAAATACCAGAAATATACAATAAATATAACGTATACAATGAGCATGCATATAAGATGAAATTGCTGAAATTCCGGTACTGGAGAAAACAAGAATATCGGAAAAACAAAATTATGGTATTATATACACTTTGCATGAATGTATTCTCAGCAATAATTAACTATTTTTTATAATTAAAAAAAATATTCTTTAATAGAAAATTTATACTTTGAAGCAATTTCTTAAGCGTATGAACATATGACGAACTTTACGTATAGTAACAGTGATAAATAAGTAGAAATATATAGGAAGGGAGAGGGGACATGACAGGATGGAGGGAAGGAATAAATAAAGGTCATAGCAATTATTTCTGCAAAATGTTCTAATAATAATGAAATTCTATTCAAGATAAAACTTTCCCAAATCTAAAAACTTCTTACTCAAAATGAATTTCATGTAAATTTAATTGCTATTTTACTTTAATCAAATTCAATTTACTTTAATACTTAGTCCAGTATTAATTTCTCTTATTTTTTTTATAATATTTTTTCATTTCAACTATTTTCCTTTTTCTTTTTTTAAAGAAGGTGTTTATCTTATTATACTACGTGATATGATTTTTGTGTTTTTCCATTACAAATAAAATTAAATTCGTACAATATCAATTATTGGAATTTTTTTATATTCCAATAATTGGTATTGTGATATTTTTTTTACTGAAAATTATATAGTATTAATGAGGTTAATGTTTGTTAATGTAAACATTATGCTCTAATTTCAATGATATTTCGACAAAAAATATAATATTATAATGAAAATTAATTCTATCTGTAAAAAATTATGTCTGTTTGTTTTTTCTAAATGTCAGATTTCAAAAATAGTGGATACATCATTTATGTGAAAGATCAAAACCAGAGAAACAGAAAATAAGGTTTCAAAACAAAAAAAAAAAAAAAAAAAAAAAAAAAATAATATTATATATATATTACGTAATAGCAGAAATGTAGTTCTATTTAAAATTAATTGGTAAAATAATTTATGTGTTATTTAGCACAATTAGAAATATTCCATTAAAATATCTAATGACTGAGTATGAGAAATATGTATTAAGAATGTGAGAAATAGTTTTGTTGAATTTGATGCAAACCACTGATTCGAAGCTATACTGTTCTGAATAATAAAATTTGTTGACATAAGCTCACAAATATTAAAATGTAGTTTTCAAAAAATAGTCTATTTAATGATTTCGAAGATTAATTTTATTTTTACATCAATCAATTTGAAATATTTATCATAAAAACAAAATCAAAATTATGATAGTATGTGTTGATTTATTATTTACAATATCAAATAAAACAATCAGTAAATGGAAAGAATAAATTTATTCTTCGTCAGTAAATGAAAAGAATAAATTTATTCTTCGCATCGTATTTTTTCTTTTGCTTAAAGTTTAATTTTAATTTGCTCTTAATCGTTCCACTGCCATACTAAAAAATGAACACTGATCGGCACACATCATTTGAAAATGTCTGCACCAAATCTCTGCCATATCACAGTATGCTCCCTGTAAAAATACTCTTCCTCATTCTTATCATATTGACAATATCACTTGTAATAAATAGCTACCAATAATTCCAATCTTTTTTCATCATTATTTGCAATGCAAAACTGATTATTACAGTTCTTCTGTTCTATAATAAACAGCGCACTTTCTTCTATTATAGTAAACGAAAATGCGTAATCATGGATTATTTCTTTCCATATTAATGTTTAATTTTTGAAAATAATTTTGCTAGATTAAAATAATTCAAAAAAAGTTATGCATAAATAAGCTCAATTAGACGATGGAATAACTTTATTTTTATTGCCCTTGCAATTTATGATAATTGGCCTAAAATTTTAGACATTTTTTTTTTTGAATAAATATTGGACTAAATTTGTTAACCTTAATAACATCATCGGAAGAATGCATAAATGAGCTAAAATTTATGGAAAGACGTCCGATGAAGAGAAGCATAGCATGTAATATTGGCCAAATAGCTTGGACAATTAATTCGATAAATGCAGCAATTGAAAGTTCCAAATAACTAATAAACAAATAACTGGCAATAATGAAACCTGTTATTGTTGCAGGATGCTAAAATTAATTTATTAGAGCCATGAAAAAAAATTACATAAATTATGATTAAAAATAAGCAATTATGCTAGATATATTCTCAGCAAAATAACAGTTATTATCGGTTTTTTAAAATCGAATTCAAAGAGAATTTAAAATAAAATAAAAAAGAATGTATTTTTATTAAAATGCGAAATTTAGGTAATTTTTTTTTTAATGAGGTAATAAGCTAATTTAACGCAGAATACACGAATTGATATCGTTTCACGTAATGTAGATTGTTACTATAGAGGGAAAAAAAAAAGAAAAATAGCAATTTAAAATTAAAACAGGTATTTTAGTTTTAAATTGTTAGAATAAATCTTATTAGTTGAAGATAATTTGTAATTTTATTTTGGTTTAAATAAAAGTTGAAAAATAACTGAGAGGAAATTATTAAATCATAATTATTATTCTCCAAAGAGTTTTATTATTGATTATAAACAATTATCATTGTCATCAACAAATAACTATTTTACTTGCTATATGGTACCCATCATTATTTAAATTTTTCTTTCGTTTATTACTAAATATAATTATCTCATACTTATACGATACTTACCGGATGATCCTTCAACAATTGTATTAATTTAGTTAGAAGAAGAAGAAAATCATCAAGTAATTGATAAAATGCATGGGAAAATCGATGAGCAGATATTTTATCACTATAAAAAGAAAAAAATTATTAGAAATTAATAAAATTAATTTTAGTATATCCACATTAACGATAATCAAAGTTAATTTATAACTTAAAAAATTGCAATTCTGATAAATGGAAGATAATTATCTAAGCAAAGAGAAGATTGAAACACTCAAAATAAAAACTTTTCATTTTATCAATGTCAGTAAATAATTTATATATTGGATATAAATTATTTATATCATAAATTTGTTTTTTTTGTTATTGATGGCATATTATTCTTCTTTCATTATTTAAGTTTTTTTTTCTAAATTACTTTCTTCTATCCTTGCAAATATTAATGAATAATGGGATTTTTTTTCAGTAAAACATGCTATTTCAAATTAAAAATTTGTTATAAATTTGATAAAAGTATTTCTGATAATCAGTATAAAATGAACTCTATTTTGCTTTGATTAAGATTGCAAATATTTTGGATATTTGGACACATCGAGATATCATCACGTCTTTCGGAAGCTGAACTCTGGATGACAAATTCACTACTATAAAAATAGATTAATTGATAATCAAAAAGATTATAACATAATTATTATAATTCAACAGATAAGGAATATTTTTGATCACTTCACTAAATCTTTTCAAAAGTAAATTAAAGTTGGTTTCTTCTAAAAGTTAATTTATAAACTGATTTTCTCTATAATTAATAACTATTGAGAAATTCTCATAACATGAAACACATATATATATATAATTCTCAAAACAAAACAAACAATATAATTTTAACTGATTTAAACAGATATTAAAACCAATATAGGAGAACTTAACTCTCACTGATTCGTTTGTTACATTTTAGGAACTAACTTTGAAGTGGATGAATCTATATTTGATCTATGACGCCTGCTGCTTTTCCGAGAATGTCGTTGTCGTTTGCGATAATTTCGATGGAACCGTTTTGGTGCTACCGATGTTTCATGACCCGTAGATTTTGTTGAGTTCTCTTGCGCAGCTCAATTCAAATAACTTAATTTTAAATTGGATCCATCAAAGATGAATGCAATCTATCGTATCTTTCATACATACATACATCATCGTTGTACATATTATAAACTTCAATAACAAATATCAGCTCATTTAATTAATAAATAATTTCGAAGCAAAAGCATAATATGTATTTTAAACTTGTATTACTATGCTTTTCTATGATAATCTATAATTCAATTAGTTTTGAAGAAGATTAAGCCTTCTCCAATAATTTCTTTTTTCATCATATTAAATTAAAATAGTTTACAGAAATCTAAAATCTAATTACATTACATAAGATATTGATATTACTATGAGTATTATTAAGTTTGTAATCTAATCATCAAAATAACTCATATTTAATTCTGGTTTGAGTGACTTAAGAATGGAGAGAAAAATATAAGCGAAAGGTCAAATATTAAGGATATCGTAAGAATATGCATGGAATCTGCTTCACATGCTGAAAATGTCACTTTTCTTTACTTAAAATTATTAGACAAGAAAAAGTTGAGAATAATATTCGATAATTTTAATAAACGAATGATTTTTCTTTTTTGTTATTAACATAAATGGTCAACTGTACAATGAAGAAAAGAGGATTTATCCAGTAGAAGTTGATAAGAAATACATAATTATAAAGATGAATGATCTGTTAGCAATGGTTAAATGTCTCAGGAAGAAATGTCACACAATACTGTGTCACCAATTATTATAAATTTGCTTATTTAAAATATAATAGGAAAGAATTACTATATGTTGTTTGTGATTGCATTGTGCCATTCAGTAATTTAGCATTTGAGATTGACAAATCAGTTATGACATTACTGGTTTCTGTTTTGTCGGACGGTCTGAAAAACATATATTGGTCATTTACTTACTTTTTTTATAGAATGTTAAAAAAATAAATGAAAAGTGACCAAGAATAAGAAACATTCATCCATATTTTACGTTACTCATGTATTTTTTTCAAATATTTTTTATTTTCCTTACTTTATTTTGTAATTAATAAAGTAAGGAAAATAATCTAACTTTAATCATGCAAGAGTTTTTAATTTTAGTTTTTTTTTTTTTTTTTTTCCTAGTGGAATATGAATTACATTGACAATATTGAAGTAAGAGATATCATATAAGTAACGATGATTGATCCGTTCAATAATATACTGCGTATTTCGTAAATTTTTCATGTAAAATAAAATACTAAATTAAACTGAAGATATGAAATAAAACGGACGGGATTTCATTAGGTATTGGCATATCAATAATGTCCTCGATAGATGGACAATTTGGTATATCATCCGTGCGATCCTTATGCTTCCTGAAGAAAAGTAAAATATTGATTATCTCACTCCCGATTGATCGATAAAATTATTCTATGTCGTAAAGTAGCGTAGAGAAATTAGGAAAAATAAAGGAGTTTTATAACTTTACATTATCCATCGTTGTTTTAAAGTTCTAATTTCCTTTCTTTTAAAACGATCCGGTGACATAGCTGTAGAATCTAAATTGAACATTTCGTCAGACTTTATGATCGTTTAATTAATATAATATAAAATAGCACCAAATATTCCTTACTCTAGTTACGAAAAAAAAAAAAATAAACATCTCTGATTGTGTGATTTAATTAGGCTATTAAAGTTACATTGTGCTCTATTCGAAACGTTTATATTTCAGATCAGGGTAAAGGCTAAAGCACAATGTTCTTTTTCCGCAACTGTAATGAAACTTTGAAAGAAAAAAGTTACCGTCTAAGCATACGTTAATAACATTTTCGTAGAGAGCTACTTTGCTAATCAAATTAAAAATCAAATGAAAAATTTTCAATATTATAAAAATAATCGAAACGAAAATTATATATATATATATATATATATATATATATATATATAATCAAATAGTATATTGAAAAGCTAATCAAATCAAAAATCCAATATTATAATGAAACAAACAAATAACTGGATACTTCTGGAAAAATATGATGAAAAAAAGATGAAAACAGAGAATAATATCATTCTAATGATACTAAAATAAAGTACGTCAAAATTCTCCGTCTTAATTTGACATCCAATTTCCGTTAGCAGATACCAAACCGCTAAGCTTCTAACAGTACTGACAAACAGATTTCAATTAAAAAATTTTTACCGTTTAAATGAATTCAAAAATTCAACATTTTTTATTATCACACAAAGAATTGTATCAATGTTATTATCATTAATAGATTAGCTAACCTAATTGGTTACATTATCACTGCATAAGGAAGAATTTAATTATCAACATTCAAATTATCATATTTTCCAACTATCAAAGTTTTAAATTGTAAACTTTACTATTCAGAAAAAAGGGAATTTCTTTATCTCATATCTGTTAATGTTTTACAGTCATTTCTTATATAATGCATATGTTATTGATATAAAAATAATCAAAATATGAAATCCAAAACAAAAGGAAGTGACCTTGAAGAGTTATCAGATAATCTTCAATTAATAATTCTCTCGTCTTTCGTCCTGAATCGAAACTTTTATCACTATTATCAGTTTGACTTAAATTACAACCCCCACTGCTATCATCTAGAATGACAATAATGTTTTTGTACTGATATCTAATCATAATTACCCAAGCTTCTAATGTCACTGAAAAGTTTAAATTGTCGTAATATTCATCCAAACTTTCAAATATATTTAAATGTAATTCAAGCATGTAAACTATAGACCATACAATCGGGAAATTTAAGTCCATTATATTACTATTTCAAAAACTTCAACCTCTTCCGATCCTCTTCTCATTTATCCCTTATAATTTCCTATTTCTTTCTTCATTAATATAATATTATTTCAGAATTAAAAATTGAGTACGAAATGAATAACAACACAAAAGTTTAAATTTCAAATTATCAATTATTAATTATATTTACATAAAATGATAAAATTTCTATGGAAATAAAAGATAAGGCAGCGCAAATCTTTCATTTATCCGCCATATATTTTCTAGCCGTTTACATTTCGAAATAATTACATGCTTAACAAATTGCTATAATGTTTAACAAAATGTTATAATAGACATTTAAGCAAGTAAGCAAATAAGCTTAAGTAAGAAACATATGCAACACGTGTTATATTCCCACATATTCTATTGTCCTCTATATACAGAAATGTGCATATGATTATCTTAAAATTATACGATAAAGACAGAAAAGCAACTATCAAGCAAAACTATACCACTCCCATGCTCTTAAATAATGCCATTGTTGAGAAAGAGTGAACCATTATATAAGTAATTTACATGTGTGCAAAAGAAAAAGAAGGAACAAAAATTTGCATAAAATAAGGAAAGAAGAGATTCGGAATTTTCAAAGATTTCTTCACTATTATAATTGTAATAGTAATAATATAATATTAACAATAATAGTAAACTATTTTAACCTAAATCATTTGACAATTATTGTTTAAAATGATACTTAATAATATTAAATTTAACTTATTACTTATGTTATCTGATAATATTATAAAATGTTGAAATAAGTAGAATTTTTGCAATTGTTATTTATTCAATGTAACGTAAAAATACTTTTATTATTCATTTATATGTTATCAAAAAATAATTTTCTTGATTAATTTGTAACATTAAGTATATACGCATGCAACGTTAAACGTTTGGTAGGATTATGACTAGATTTGCGACTAGTATACACTATTAACTGTTACGCTAATACTGGAGTTGATATTTTTTAATTTTATCCAATCATCTTTATGGCCTAGCAAACAGTGGAAGACTAACCATTAATATCCTATAAATGGCTGAGTAATGGCTGAAGTCCACCTGTTGCATCTTGTTGTGTTGCAATAGCACCATAGTAATTGAGCTTGTCGCTTTTGCAAGATCATTGAGTGAATTTTCATTTTTGAATTTTCTGTCATTTGAGTATCCATTGCGACGCCCGAAATTTACTTATTGTCTTATTTTTATACTACTTCAATGCATTTTTGAAAACAAAACAACGCATTTCTATTTCGTATAGTAGAGATTCTCCTTTTATTGCACAAATTTTTTTTGTTAGCAATGATCAGCTAGTGTAGATTATTAACCATTTTCTTAAGGTAAAACAAGCTGATACAGAATCTCTGGCATGACATGTTGACTTTAAATACAAAATCTGAAGACTTCTAATTTCCCTAACTTCACAGTGCATTACGAATTTTAACATCAAATAACGGTATGAATGCCTTATGTGAAGAAATATTAATTCGGAATATTAATGCTTGCCTGAGACGAGACCCTTTTTGTGGACCAGTAGCTCAGGTGATTGCGTATGCAGATTATGGAGATGGATCGTCATCACAGCCAACAGCACCGCCCATTTGCTGCTGTTGTTGTGCAGTGGCAACTGCAGCTGATACAGCTAGCTGATCAACAGTTTGCTGCTGTTGCAGGCTTGTTTACGAGTGGCACCTTGTGAAGGTGTAGGGAGATTTGTTGCATTGAGATGTCAACCCGTAAAGAATGAAGTAAAACGAAATAGTGTGACGAGCTATTTAGAAAAGAAGTTTTGAATTAATCAAAATGTCTTCTAAACACAATCAAAGAAGCTTTACTGAACTAAGCAAAATATCTAAATCAATCCAAAATTTTCAACTGCTACTAGTACGCAATCCTAATAGACATACCGCGGAACTATCAGATGCTAAGTTGCCGATGTCCGATACATCCATCATCAGTGCTGAAAGATAGATATCCAGATTAGGCGATCTACAATAGAACACATTAACACCATTTAATTATAAGGTCTCATTCCGAATCATTCATATTAGTTAAGTTATAAGGCTAATCTCACTCAACCGTGTAGATTGTTCCTATTGTTCAACAAGGAAGAAATTAGAGGTAATGATCAATAAGTGAAAAGATAGATTTATATATAAGAACTGATGAATAGCTTGAAATGAAAAGTTAAAAAAAAAAAAAAAAAAAAGAAACGCATGAAAAGTTAAAAACTTGAACTAAATATATACAATCTATTTATAGGATTTTTTCGTTGAAAAAATTTAATTCAGTCCATTCCACATATCATTGGGCGACCAATTCATCGTAATATGAATGATGTATTAAACGTTGAATGTATTGCTGCACAGGATCTAGTTTTACTACCAACAAAAGTTGATTATAAAAAATTAGAGCAAAAAAAAACGAGCAATATGATAGCAATTCAATTGCTCATAATTTTAGTAGTTCGGAAATCAAATTAGTAACGATACAACTATCGCAGATTTTAACATCGCGAAGCACTAAATAAATGTTAACAATGCTTAATATAGCTTAATCCATTGATGTCTTTTACAATTCATCGTAATGGTTTAATTGACTTTTGATCTTATATCAATTCATATACAATGAGCATCTATCATGTAGTGTTTATTGCAACTCATAGTAGCCACTTATCATAATGTCTAGACAACTCATTGTACTTTCTTTCGTGATATCCATTCAATTCATTGTGATATTCATTGTAAAACCTATTGTTAAAGTTACTTGCTATAATGTCTAGACAATTTATCCTTTGTATAAAAATTCTAATTATAAACCACTCCTGTCGCGAATTATAATTTCGCGAAAAACTCCTAACTAATTTCATACTATCATAAATCATCTCTTCTTTTCATTGTAAAACACTTCCAATTCTTTACACATATAATTTTACTGTAAAATTGTAATTAGCTTTCATCTAATCTTTTCGTTGTAAAACACTTCCAATTCTTTACACATATAATTTTACTGTAAAATTGTAATTAGCTTTCATCTAATCTTTTCATTGTAAAACACTTTCAATTCTTTACATATATGATTTTTATCCTAGACACGCCCAATCCTTACTCATATAAATTCAATTCTAACAAACAAACCGGGTTAATTTTTTCACATTCATTATCATTATCATCATTGTCGACTACTACTTTGTTAACCAATATCAATTCCTCCAATCTTCTTCTTTAATATAAATTTCTTCTCTTTTATTTTACTGCTCTGTTTATTAATACTACATTTTCGAAAAATAAAGGTTTATTAATCTTCCTACTGTATTGCAACAATTCGAATATCAACCAACAGACAACCTTTCACGACAAAATAATTTTTTGGTGCCACGAGCCGGGAACAAGTCAAGCCACATTATCGCGAGCTTTCAACCGGCAAAGGAAAGGTTAGTCAGTCTTCTTAAAGAAGTAAATCAACTGGAGATCAAATTTCCAGATCCAAATATGACAATAGAAGAAAAAGAAGATTTTTATGTGATAAGAAAAAGAGTATTAGAAGATAAACTTCGAAGAATCCAATTATGCGTGACTACGCTTGAATCTATCAACGATAAATGGTTCACATATACTCAACAAATCGTCACGATGAAAAGAAGAGAAGAAGAAGAAGAAAAATACAAAACAGTAACAGAAGGTGACCAAGGAATATTTCAATTATTACACGAAGGAAAGGAAGCGATAATAACACTGACAATGCACAAGGATGAAGTCGATCAAAACTTAAAACAACTCTCAAAGGAGTTGACGAACAAACAAACAAAAGAAGAAGCAAAATTTACTCCTTCTTCAAATATTAATGTAAATCTTCCTCATTTATCGCTTCCTATTCGATGGAGACCCTATTGGAGCAGTTTTAACGAAGCAGTCCACACACAAGCGATTCTAGAAATACAAAAATTGAATTACTTGTACTCATGTCTCAAAGGAAAAGCTCTACAAGCAATATCTGGATATGATATAGCTCCAGAGAATTATGGAGTCATCAGAAAACTGCTCAATTAAAAATATGGCGATCACTCAATAGTAACAACATTACTCTACAACGAACTCCAATCAATTAAACGAAATGAAAGAGAATGGATTGGAACAATTGAAAACATAGAACGAGTACTACGCCAGTTAGAAGCTCTAGGAGAAAGCCTCGAACATTCAAATATTGAAATCTTGATCGAGAGCAAGTTGCCATTATGGATATTAAATAAAATATATAAACATAAGAAGAAGGACATGCCTTGGTCAATTCTCAAACTAAGAAACTTTTTAACAAGTTTAGTTAATGTGAATGAACAGATTAGAAACTGTCAACATTCACTCACTCAACTCAATATTAAATCTACAACTACCAAACAGGAACAAAAACAACGATACAATCCCGGAGGAACTTCAGCACTGTCTTCTAGTGATATTGTTATATATGCAGAGAAGGGGAATGAATTATTCAAAATGTATTCTAGTGATCTTGTTATATCTGTAGAGATATGGTATGAGTTAATGAAGTAATCAAAACGTCTTCTAGTGATATTGTTATATATGCAGAGAAGGGGAATGAATTATTCAAAATGTATTCTAGTGATCTTGTTATATCTGTAGAGATATGGTATGAGTTAATAAAGTAATCAAAACGTCTTGTAATGATATTGTTATATTGGTAGAGAAATGGTATGAGTTAATGAAGTAATCAAAACATCTTCTAGTGATATTGTTATATCTGTAGAGAAATGGTATGAGATAATGAAGTAATCAAAACTTCTTAGTGATCTTGTTATATTGGTAGAGAAATGGTATGAGTTAATGAAGTAATCAAAATGTCTTCTTGTGATAATGTTATATCTGTAGAGATATGGTATGAGTTAATGAAGTAATCAAAACGTCTTCTAGTGATATTGTTAAATCTGTAGAGAAGGGGAATGAATTAATCAAAATGTCTTCTAGTGATATTGTTATATATGCAGAGAAGGGAATGAATTAATCAAAATGTTTTCTAGTGATCTTGTTATATCTGTAGAGATATGGTATGAGTTAATGAAGTAATCAAAACGTCTTCTAGTGATATTGTTATATATGCAGAGAAGGGGAATGAATAAATCAAAATGTCTTCTAGCGATATTGTTATATCTGTAGAGAAATGGTATGAGTTAATGAAGTAATCAAAACGTCTTCTAGTGATATTGTTATATATACAGAGAAGGGGAATGAATTATTCAAAATGTATTCTAGTGATCTTGTTATATCTGTAGAGATATGGTATGAGTTAATAAAGTAATCAAAACGTCTTGTAATGATATTGTTATATTGGTAGAGAAATGGTATGAGTTAATGAAGTAATCAAAACATCTTCTAGTGATATTGTTATATCTGTAGAGAAATGGTATGAGATAATGAAGTAATCAAAACTTCTAGTGATATTGTTATATCTGTAGAGAAATGGTATTGGTTAATGAAGTAATCAAAATATCTTCTAGTGATCTTGTTATATTGGTAGAGAAATGGTATGAGTTAATGAAGTAATCAAAATGTCTTCTTGTGATAATGTTATATCTGTAGAGATATGGTATGAGTTAATGAAGTAATCAAAACGTCTTCTAGTAATATTGTTAAATCTGTAGAGAAGGGAATGAATTAATCAATATGTCTTCTAGTGATATTGTTATATATGCAGAGAAGGGGAATGAATTAATCAAAATGTTTTCTTGTGATCTTGTTATATCTGTAGAGATATGGTATGAGTTAATGAAGTAATCAAAACGTCTTCTAGTGATATTGTTATATTAGCAGAGAGGTGGCATGAATTAATCAAAATGTCTTCTAGTAATATTGTTATATTTGCAGAGAAGTGGCATGAATTAATCAAAATGTCTTCTAGTGATATAGTTATATTTACAGAGAAGTGGCATTAATTAATCGAAATGTCTTCTAGTGATATTGTTACATTTGCAGAGGAATGGCGTGATATTGTTACATCTGCAGAGAAATGGTATGAGTTAATGATGTAATCAAAACGTCTTCTAGTGATATTGTTATATCTGTAGAGATATGATATTGTTATATCTGTAGAGAAATGGTGTGAGTTAATAAATTAAAATGTCTTCTAGTGATATTGTTATATTTGCAGAGAAATGGTATGAGTTAATGAAGTAATCAAAACGTCTTCTAGTGATATTGTTATATTTGCAGAGAGGTGGCATGAATTAATCAAAATGTCTTCTAGTAATATTGTTATATTTGCAGAGAAGTGGCATGAATTAATCAAAATGTCTTCTAGTAAAACTGTTATATTTACAGAGAAGTGGCATTAATTAATCGAAATGTCTTCTAGTGATATTGTTACATTTGCAGAGGAATGGCGTGATATTGTTACATCTGCAGAGAAATGGTATGAGTTAATGATGTAATCAAAACGTCTTCTAGTGATTTTGTTACATCTGCAGAGAAATGGTATGAGTTAATGAAGTGATCAAAATATCTTCTAGTGATCTTGTTATATTGGTAGAGAAATGGTATGAGTTAATGAAGTAATCAAAATGTCTTCTAGTGGTATTGTTATATCTGTAGAGAAATGGTATGAGTTAATGAAGTAATCAAAACGTCTTCTAGTGATAATGTTATATCTGTAGAGAAGGAAAATGAAGTAATCAAAACGTCTTCTAGTGATATTGTTATATCTGTAGAGAAGGGGAATAAATTAATCAAAATGTCTTCTAGTGATAATGTAATATCTGTAGAGATATGGTATGAGTTAATGAAGTAATCAAAACGTCTTCTAGTGATATTGTTATATATGCAGAGAAGGGGAATGAATAAATCAAAATGTCTTCTAGCGATATTGTTATATCTGTAGAGAAATGGTATGAGTTAATGAAGTAATCAAAACGTCTTCTAGTGATATTGTTATATATACAGAGAAGGGGAATGAATTATTCAAAATGTATTCTAGTGATCTTGTTATATCTGTAGAGATATGGTATGAGTTAATAAAGTAATCAAAACGTCTTGTAATGATATTGTTATATTGGTAGAGAAATGGTATGAGTTAATGAAGTAATCAAAACATCTTCTAGTGATATTGTTATATCTGTAGAGAAATGGTATGAGATAATGAAGTAATCAAAACTTCTAGTGATATTGTTATATCTGTAGAGAAATGGTATTGGTTAATGAAGTAATCAAAATATCTTCTAGTGATCTTGTTATATTGGTAGAGAAATGGTATGAGTTAATGAAGTAATCAAAATGTCTTCTTGTGATATTGTTATATTAGCAGAGAGGTGGCATGAATTAATCAAAATGTCTTCTAATGATATTGTTATATCTGTAGAGAAATGGTATGAGTAAATGAAGTGATCAAAATATCTTCTAGTGATCTTGTTATATTGGTAGAGAAATGGTATGAGTTAATGAAGTAATCAAAACGTCTTTTAGTGATATGGTAATATCTGTAGAGAATGGGTGTGAGTTAATTAATCAAAATGTCTTCTAGTGATATTGTTATATTTGTAGAGAAATGGTATGAGTTAATGAAGTAATCAAAATACCTTCTAGTGATCTTGTTATATAGGTAGAGAAATGGTATGAGTTAATGAAGTAATCAAAACGTCTTCTAGTTATATTGTTATATCTGTAGAGAAGGGGAATGAATTAATCAAAATGTCTTCTAGTGATATTGTTACAATTGCAGAGAAGGGGAATGAATTAATCAATATGTCTTCTAGTGATATTGTTATATCTGTAGAGAAGGGGAATGAATTAATCAAAACGTCTTCTAGTGATAATGTTATATCTGTAGAGAAATGGTATGAGTGAATGAAGTAATCAAAACGTCTTCTAGTGATATTGTTATATCTCTGTAGAGAAGGGGAATGAATTAATCAAAATGTCTTCTAGTGATATTGTTACAATTGCAGAGAAGTGGCATGAATTAATCAAAATGTCTTCTAGTGATATTGTTATATCGGTAGAGAAATGGTATGAGTTAATGAAGTAATCAAAACGTCTTCTAGTGATATTGTTATATCTGTAGAGAAATGGTATGAGTTAATGAAGTAATCAAAATACCTTCTAGTGATCTTGTTATATTGGTAGAGATATGGTATGAGTTAATAAATTAATCAAAATGTCTTCTAATGATATTGTTATATCTGTAGAGATATGGTATGAGTTAATGAAGTAATCAAAATACCTTCTAGTGATCTTGTTATATAGGTAGAGAAATGGTATGAGTTAATGTAGTAATCAAAACGTCTTCTAGTGATATTGTTATATTTGCAGAGA